TACTTCTGGTGCTAAAAACTCTGGAGTGCCACAGAATGTTCCAGTACGATCTCCCCATCCCATTCCTTCTTTACACAAACCAAAATCAGCAATTTTAACATATCCTTCGGTGTCAAGTAGTAAGTTATCTAATTTTAAATCTCTATAAATAATATTATTTTCGTGTAAATACTGTAGGCCTAATACTACACAAGCTGCATAAAACACTGCCCTAGGTTCTGTGAAAACATCAGTATGTATGTGCATCATAAGATCACCTCCTGCGGCATATTCCATAACGAAGCACACATGTTGTTCTGTCTGGAAACATGCAAACAAATTCACCAAAAACGGGTGTCTTATAGCATTAGCTACCTCAAAAATTCTTTTCTCGGATAAAAGTGAATCTACTTCATCCCTAGCAATTATATCACTCTTCTTTAAAGCTTTGATTGCAAAATATTCATTAGTAGGTTTGTACTGTGATAAGATTACTTTCCCAAAATGACCCCTTCCCAGGACACTAAGCAGTCTGAAACTTTCCATCGACATTTCACCAGACTGTCTTCTAGAATCAATTTCCTTGCCTAATGTTTCTATAACAGAAGACGAGCGAGAAGATGATAATCTCATATTACTAGTAATTTCAACAATCTGGTCTTCATTACTGGGATACTCCAAAACAAGCTTAGGCGATGGTGATGGTGGATATTCAACTAATGGTGTGTTGCATGACGGAGTTTGAGGGTCTTTTGGAACATAATTATCCCTTGTGTAGGAATCTTCTAAAAATGCAAAAGCTTCCTGTAGTTCTTTTTCCATTCGAAGTGTTGAAACATTAGGTGGAGGGTGTAAAGGCAGACTCGGTTTTGGCGGGGGCGTGACCGGCACTTGTGGTACAATCGGTGTAGCAGGTAGACCAAGTGGTCTCACACCTGCCATGCCTACAAGGGTAGCATTGGGATTTTCTATTTCTTTGCTGTCGATAGAAGATGGCTCATAAATATGTTGCTGGGGTTGACTAATGTGGGCAGATTGGATATTTTGAATAGATGGTGATGACCGTTTTAAAAGTCTACCCAGTATAACAGCTGGAATATGCATCTCACCATATGGTGGTCGTGGAATATTCTTTCCCTGTTGTTTAATAATCTTTCGTTGACGCTGCAATTTTGGTTTTCTCGAAATTATTGGATTCAAGAATTTGATTTCAGCAAATAAAAGGCCCTGAGGTTCCAGTTCTAAAGCCATCCCATGTCGAATGTCATCAATGAATTCTTCCAATCTTAAAAATTTTACTCCACACAGTCCACGCCAATCTTTCCAGTGAATGCCTATTTCAAGTTCCCTTGATTTGTCCAGCTTGATAGTGAATCTGAAAATTGAATAAAAAGGCTCAACAAAATTAAAAAATAATCATATCTAAGTCTAATCATAGTAATCAATTCAAAATACATGCAGACATCATTATATCTACAGGGACTATTCCAACGACTTCCTTCTCATTTACCTTGTTAAGAACATTGGTTTTAAATTCCCAACTTTTCTGATTGTGATATAAACATTTCAATGCAAATAGTTACTGCTATATTTAATTTAAATGCATGTGAATAACTTAAAAACAATGTCTTATAAAATTTAACGTAATTAAAAGGTAAACCTTTGTATGTATACTTATACAAGTACTAACTGTCGCCCGCAAGTCCGTCCGCGCGGAATAAAAAAATTAAAAAATACTTTACATGTCATCAGGCATAAACTGGCACTATTATTGCTTGTTACCATAATCCTTATTAAGTCATAAGCTTGAGCTTGGTTCCCAGTTGGAACATATTTATATGACTTGGTATACATTAGTTACCTGCCTTAAAAATTATTAATTCTAGTCCTGTCCATAATAAAGAAAAATGAATGTACTGCATATAATTTCAATGGATCGTAAATTTAATTTAAATTTAAAAAAGGCCTAATGTAGAAGAAAACTATGGGAGTAAAAAGATAAAATAATGATTAAAAATATCAAGATAGTTAAAAATTTTGTCATCAAAAGAGATCTCTTCGAAGCTAAGGTAGATAGGTAGCTCAAAGATGTTGTGGTTGGCATTTACAAAGTTTAGTTTCTAACACTTTGAAAGAAATATATTCCATGTTCTTATTAAAAAATTTTATAGTTGTCCTTAAAAGCATCAATAATCTAGATAAAGAGTAGATTTATTTCTATTTTCTGTCAAATCAATATTTAACTCATATCATTATAATAATAATAATTTAAAAATTATATGAAGTACAATCATAAAGTACTATAACAAAGTTATATTAAGTACTTATAGGTACCATAAAATAGCTTGTGTGTCAGGTGTCTTAGTCATTATATAAATATGTGACATGGCCTACAGATAAGATTAGGTGAGTAATCATGCTAAGTTGAAGATTACAATTCAAGGGAAGAGGGAATATGAGTACAACACACTAGGCATATAGAAGCTGGATATTAATAATATAAATTAAAAAATATTAATATTAAATTATTCACTATCAGATTCATTCAGAATTACAAAACATTAAAATAAAATATACAAAACATTAAATGTGGTCAAAAATTGAAAGTGCATTTAAATTTCAATTAGGCAATGTATGTAGAAATATGTGACGCAAGATTCAATACTGTTACACAAAAATTGTCTTGAAATTAAACAGTACTCTTACTTTTTCAAGTTATGAAATACTAAAGTTTTTATGTTGACCCTAAAGGTATCAAAATACAGCGTAAGGCCTTGGCATTATTCTTTCTATCCAATTATACTTAGGATGGTTTATTACGAAATCTTATGGTTTCTGATCTGGCCAGTTGTACATAATCACAACAATTTTAATTTCCATAATAGTGCATCTGAAAACCGAACTTGGCTTCTATAAAAATTGAAGCAGATTCTAAATAGAACTTTGCAAGATTAATTAATCTGACCAAGTAATTATTATTATTATTCCTACACTTGTGAAAAATTGGAAAACAAACAAAACATTATTTTCTGTCCAATTTAGTTAGTGGATATTACATCATTAAGATATTTTAATTAATCCCTTACCTCTGATCCCAGGCTTGTTGAGAACATGGCCGCCAACTTGTTTGAGCCACTGTATGATTATCCAATTTTAGGACAGCCATAATTTCATTACTTGTATCTTCCTTAATGCTGTATGTGTACTTCATAGAATTACGAATCGTGACACCCTTCACAAAAGACTTCAAGTCTGAAGGACTGGCTAATGGATCACGTCTGCTGCGACCAGGCACCTCTTCCAAAAGATCTTGGCAACCCATTAATCTTACCTCAAGAGTTCCAGTAACTTGTACACAAGGACTAATCATGGGTGTTGGTGACATAAACTGAGCTCTTGACCCACCACCCCAAGATAAGCTTACATACCCAGGGCTCGAGCCAGTACTGCGTAACTCATGACCTAATTCAATAAATGCAGGACTCTCCACAGGCAACTCCTGACGCCGCATGTCCAACGATAAGCGTAATAAATCCAATTTTTGAGAAGATTCCAGAAGACTTGTCTGAGCTTCCTGCAGTGCTTTCTTATCTGTTACCTTTTTGTCACTCTGCAACAATCTGATAGCATTCTTTGATCCTTCAACAACTGCAGCTTCTATGCGCAAACGATTCCTCAGCTCTGCTATCCTTTCATCAAGCAATGGATCTACCCCACTCATATCTGAGGTTCTACCATCACCATTAGCACCGGCATTATCCTCTTTTTGCTGTTTACACATTTTGGATATACGTAATTTAAGATATTCAATTTTATCTTTAGAATCAGCAAGCATCTGATGTGCCTCTGCCAATAACTTTTTATCACGGGATTGGTTACTACTGCTTATACTTTGAATCATATTTTCGGCACCTTGTTTTACCTTTAATTCAATATTCAACTGTTTTTCAAGTGAAGCCAGTTTGCGGTCTGCAGTTCCCTCACCCAATTGCCGCTGCTGCTGCGCTGCTTCCGACGCCAGAATGATTTCTTCATCGTAAGATAAATCCTCGGGAGAGGTCGGAGTCGATTGACCTCGGGACAGAAGTAACTGGGATTCCAATTCTTGTAAATCTGATTTAAGTTCATTTAGTTTTAAATTGGCTTTTTTCACAATATTTGCTACGTCAGAAAGTGATTTACGATCAGTTGCCACTTCACGGAGTTTCTCCGCGCCTTCTTTTATTTTCAACTCTTTACGTATCTCTCTACGTATGACATCCTTGAGTTCCTCCAACTTAGACGGCAATGCTATTTCTGGAATACATTCCGTCTTAATTCCATATTTAATACCAAGTTCATAAAGGACAGGGTGTCGAATATAATCGCCGTGATAATAACCTGGCTCTGCCATAATTGAGGATGCACAGAGTAACGTCAGTTAACCATAATTATGTGAGAAAATATCGCTACTATTGCTTTTTGATCACAAAAGGTACACAGAAATATGGCGCTTAGTAATACTTATGCTTTGCACAACTATACAAGAAATCATGATGTTACAGTAACAATTATAAAAACATTTGTTAAATTAAATTACAAAACAAAACAATTTATAAACAAGTTGTTCGGTCAACGAAACCAACGAAACGATGAAACCCTACCATTATATATTAAAACCATAGATTTGTAGATGACGTATACCAGATAAAATTATTGCACCTGATTCCACCAATGTTTTTTCTCTTATTTACCACCTAAGTTTTACATCGAGTCATTAATTTATTAGGTTTTTATTTTAATATGTTAAATTAAAAGCAAACCACTCTTCTCAATTTTTTTTTTGAGTTTTGTTGTTGTTATTTATAATTTAATTTGCTGTTACAACAATAAAAATATTGTATTACAGTATCATAGAAATACAGCATAAATAATAAAAAACATATTTTTGATTTTGATATTTTGTTTTTGATATTTTTTTTGTGAGTACAGATAAGTCTTCATATAGAATTTACTGGAAACCAAAGTGTCAAAGAAAAATAGAGAGAAAGAAATATATTATGAAGGTGGCTGTCAAATTATCTGTCATCATTACATACAGTTTATTTTGTGCAAGATAGGTCACCGTTTTAATGGAAAATAATGCCAGTTAAAGTTGATATAACTCCACCTCCCCCTGCAAACTCAAAACAACCCGGTGTAACAAAGTCATTACTATATAACGGATCAAAATTTCACGGTCATCAAGCATCCAAAGGAAACTCTTATGAAGTTGAAGTAGTTTTACAGGTTAGTATTTTAAAGCAAAATACGCAAATACAGAATAACTGCTTGTGTTTATCTCGAGATTGTTTTTTATTATTTGAACTTTTGTATTGAATAGTATTTAAGGTTAAAAACTGGCGAATATGTATGTTATTGTAAACAAATAAGAAAATAAACAGTCGAATGTGTGGTTAGGATGATCATTGTTTTGATGAGTTAAATTATATAACTCTTTGTTATTTCAGCATGTTGATGAGGAAAATTCATACCTTTGTGGCTATCTTAAGATTAAGGGACTAACAGAAGAATTTCCGACACTAACCACGTTTTTTGATGGCGAAATTATATCAGCAAAATATCCCTTTCTCACAAGAAAATGGGACGCTGATGAGGATGTTGACAGAAAACATTGGGTAAGTTTTACGCCAATATAAATTTTCTCAGTCTAATTCTAGGTTCCATACTATTGTATGGAAATCTAATTAACACATGAGTCATATCATTTTTTAACTACACTAGTTCATTTGCTTTATATTAGGGTAACTATGCGCTAAGTCTGATATTTTAAATTGTCAGTGGTAATAGTCTAAACATTTTTTATACAGCTCTAAATATTGTTTTTCTAATTTATCTCCTTTTTACAACATGCTTGTATATAGATGTTAACATTACATGTTATGTTCTGGTTGTATTGTTAACTTTCTTCTTGTTTATGTTCCAGAGTAAATTTGACCTATTTGTACCATACTTGAAGACATTTAATTCCGATTCATTTGACTATGACACTCTTGAAAAAGCGGATTATGTATTTATGAGATGGAAAGAACATTTTCTTGTGCCGGACCATACAATAAAAGATATAAATGGTGCTTCATTTGCTGGTTTCTATTACATATGCTTCCATAAGTCTGCTGCCACAATAGAGGGTTACTACTACCATAGAAGTTCTGAATGGTAAGCTAATGTTTAATTGTATTTTTTTTTAATCCTAGTGACTTTAGTAAATAGGTACGGTGTAAGATAGTGTATTCATGGTTGTTATAAGTTTTTTTTTATTTTATTTGTTTATAAATTTATTTTATGTTTCCATATTGAGTATTTAATAATTTTCAGGTATCAATCTTTGACTTTAAGTCATGTCCCGGAACACAGCATCCAAATTTATGAGTTCAGATGAAATCACAAAATGGAAACTTTCAAATTTGGATGGATATTTGTTTCCGATAGTACTTACATATTATTAAGTTGTAATTTCATGATATATTCAAAAAGACAAAGTATCAATGTTAAGTTTGTGTCCAAACTAGAGGCTGGGTGATAAAATAGAGATTATACTCTGAACAAAAAACCCAGTAAATATTTCCGATATTCTTCTTTACAATAAATTTCAAGCTGTTCTTGCATATACTTCAGGTAGAAAATTGATAGGCATATTAAGCATCTTTTAAATGTCACTGAGCAATGCAATGCCATGCTAAAAATTTTTTTTAAGCATAAGGCTACCCTAAGTAGTGAAATTTTTGTGTCACCAAGATATCTTAAGTATTGTCATTGTGATATTTTGTACAAAATATTTACTCATAAGGTTAATGCTTAGTTTTGTAAAATGTTGCCACTAAATACTAGAATATAATGTTTTAATTTTTTTATTTTTTATTTTATATAGCTGGCTATTGAAATGTATTAAGAAAAAAAAATCAGAATGTAAATTATATCTTGATCATGAATATTACTCAATATTTTAAGTGTTTTTTACTGACATACAATTTTATATATCACAATTGTTTATATGGTTGTATGAGATGGGGTATGTTTGGATGGATGTTGATATAATTTATAATGGAGCCTTGATGTATATGCAAGATCAGGGAATCTCAAAAATTATGTGAACAAGATCGTTTATCATATTTAGCTCTAATAGTTCATACTCTTAGTAAGAAAATGTTTTTTTTTCCAATAAAATATCCTAAATGCATTGAGGTGTATTATTTGTGAGTAAAATAAAAATACATTGTATGATTTCATTTCAATCGTTTTAATATAACATTTATATTTACAATAAAATACTGGCATTGATAATTTTTTGATTATGTATTCACCGTTATGCAGAAATAAGATTTTTTTTTAGTTTAGATCAAACTTTCAAACATTGATATGGTTAATTCTTATTCTATTTGTACATAATAGTTAAAAATTGCAAAATTTTATATAATTTAGTTGTTTAAAATACTTGTTTAGGAATCAATAGATGTTTTACACAGATAAAAAATATTTCGTGAAAATTACTACATCCAAAAATAGCAACAAATATTGTGATCGTAAAATATTGTTTTTTATATAATCATTTTTTTAAGCTATGAATACTACAAGTGATACACTGGTTTAAAATATGTATTTAAATTGATTTGATTAGATTGTTATAGATACAATTTATTATATTCAAATATTAGTTTTATTTCTGCAAACAATTAAGTAATTTTATTTAGTATGAATTTAAATACTATATTTTAAGAAATACTCTGAAAATATTCACTTACAAATATATCTTATATATTAGTATTAAATAATTTTATTGTAATAAGAAACTAAAGACTTAAACTAAACTTTGGTGGGATCATTATATGGGTAGTTATTCAGTTATTTATTTAGAATTTTATTTTTAAAACACCGCATAAATTTTGCATAGTATAAAAGACAAGATATAGCAACTATCATGTTGCATATAATGTAATAATTAAGTTTATATGCATTGAAATAAGATTTGGCAAGATTATTTATTATCTAAAGTAAAATTCGAAAAGTTTTCATACAAAAAATTAAAATAAATATCTTGCATCGAGAAAGTTTCCATACTAGACATTCTGGTAGGTGGGTTAAAATGATTCTAAATATATATTAATTAATTGAAAATTCAATTTATCGAAGACAAAACTATCTATATCTACACTGAAAAAAGTAAAAAAAAAATATGCTTCCACGGCTCTATCTACAGTAAGCCCTCATTCGCACGGGCGCTTTTTTATACGTACGCTTTTGTATCGCGCAATGTTGCGTTTTCAGCACTGGGCGAAAGGAACAAGAATTTTAAAGCGTTAGTTGTTAAAAAGCGCCCGTGTGAATGCGCATTAAGTACCTACTTAATAATAATAATCATTTAGATTACTATCTGTGGCAAGCCAGCGCCGGTTATATTTGTACGACAACTAGATACGATAAAATATTTTTGCATTAGGTACATTCGACTAATTCACAACAACAAATATAAAAAGCGAGAAAAATATACATCGTTAAAATAGACATAAATTAAATAATTATTGATACAACAATTTACATAATACAAAACAACGATAATACTATCAGAACAATTTAATTTTTAGTTGCAATTAAACGACTTAATATGAAGAGTATTTACAAGAACTTATACAGCTAAGAAAATAATTAACTATGACTGTAATATTTGGCTTTGAAATAAATAAGCTAATATATTGAAAGCTATGGACGAAGAAGACGACACGAAGTTTCTAAATTGATAATTGTTAACAAATATTAATTTTAAATGCAATTGTTTATTATTTGAGAGTTAATATTTGAGTTAAACATTTTCCCATAGCTTCCATTATATGTCGTCGGGTAACGTCAATTTTATCTACGATGTTAGGTAAGGGAACTATCTCTTGGAGGTGCCTTCGCCGCTGAACCAATGTCTGAGACCGAGTAAGGTGTACAGTTCTCGATCATTGGTGTGGGGTCTTATCGGACTAGCCTCGTGACGCGACACTCTGTGTGGGTACCGATGAGGACCGGAGTAGTTTTCACGCAGCCGCGGGTACAGTTGTGAGTAATCTGTGTAAGGATACGAACGTGGCCGGAAATAATTATGGGGATAAGTGTGGTGATGTCTCCGTGGATTCTCGTGCATTGCGTACACTCCACCAACACGGCGCTGTCCAGGCCAGTAGTCTTGTACATTTTTAAAAGGATAGTCAGACGGTGGTGAGCGTAAATGGTTTGGCCAAGAATATCTGAAGTATAGATTCTTCGTTGGGTTTCTTTGAAGTTTTTCGTCACCCGACATCTGGTCTAAAGTCTTGACCGCTGTATCTTCCACATGTTCTGCCGGCTTAGGTTTGTTCCGTCGATATTGAAGCTTCGTACGTGTGCCCAAAATGCTGCTAGCTTCTTCTTTCGACGAATTGCTTTTATCTTTAGCGAAATTGTCATCAGTAGTAACTTCAGCGAATCTGCTTATTATCTTTATCGCTTCGCCGATGTCGGAGTAATCATGTTCTGGGTTTAATTTAGAATTATCATTTTCCTTCTTCAATTGTGGCGTGTCTGTTTGTTTTGGCGAGACTGTCAAGCTGCTTTCGATTCTTGTACCATTGGTCGCATTTAATGGGCTATCCGTCGATGTTGATTCACTAGAATATTCCATTTCATGCTCTGTTGGCGATTGTTGATTTTGATAAGAAGTATCGTATAATACGGGATCAACTGCTACATGTCCAAAAACTTCTTCCTTTTGTCCGACGTCCGTCGAATTCAAAGATTCTATTTCACTAGAATTGATCATGGGACTGTCACGCTTTGGTTTTTCGTGGTAGGCTAAGAAATTGGTCAGTGCGTTTTGGCTTACAACGTGGCTGCCTTTCGTGCCAGTGGTATTGTTATGACCTTGCTGGAGTTTCAGCAGTTCTAATTCAGCCTCAATGCTGGCGTCGTTTGTTTGAGTATTATCGCCTTTTTTGTCGACTTTCACGTAGTTGAGGTCCTGCCCCTGAAAACAAAAATATAATGAATATGTTAATGTTTTTCTTAAGTCATAGACTTGTGTATGTCGACAAATGGTTTCTTAAAGGAAACTTAATTGTTTGGCGTGTGGAAAATATAAACTGTTCTGGTCTTAATAGGGTATTTAAAGCGTTTACCGTGTCGCCTTGATCTTGAGATTGCAGAGGAGCTGCTTGTGCATCATAACCGATGGGTATAGATAGCTGCAGGGGCCCCGGTTCTTCGTCACCGTAGTCGTACTGCACATCGCTGCCGCCAGGCGCCGAAGTGAACAACGCATTTAAATGTTCAAGTAAGATGCGCTCGTGTTCATCTTTGTCGACTGTCACCACCTGTAAAAAAGATTGAGTAATATTTAACAATAATATTATATTTTGCGTATGTCTGAAATGAAACTAGTATAAATGAAGGGATGCAGCTCTTAGAAGAAACACTAACATTATTGAATGTAGGCCCCCATTGTAAGAAATCGTTAATTAGCGTACTCAGTTAACAAAACGATTCCAATCCGTTTACTATCTTTACAACTTGATTTCCATATATTGCAGACTAAGTGGAATAACTGGTCAGCGGTTGATTGCTGATTGTTGCCGTATATTTTGAATTCTTGACAATAGTATTTATATTTGCTAGAATCTATACAATAATATTTATTAGAAGACGGATAAGACACAATTAGAACTTCATTTATACATGATATTAAATTACGATGGTATAGTAACTTGTAAATACCGTAATAGAAACAGCAATTACCTGAACACAGCCGTTCCGATCGAGTCGTTGTCCTTTGGGGCAGACGAGTGGCGTGATGAATAAGGACTTGGTCGTAATCCGTCTGGCTGGAGCATTGGGGTTCCCGCTCTCAGGACTCTGCAGCCAGGAGCGCCATGCGAGTTCGGCAGCTTGCCGGTCAAGCGTGCGGGGTGGTGTGCGAGGCGGCGCGCGGGGCGTCGCGGTGGGCCCGGGCGTCGCCGTCACCGGGGCTTCGGATTGCGCCCCCGCTGCGGCCTCCGCTTGACCCTCCGCCGCGACCAGCGCACAGGACACCAGCAGTAACACGGTCCACGTGTACCACATCGCAAACACCTGACAAATAAAAAAAAAAGTTAAAGCGTCAGTTTTATAATTCTGTATATAATAATATTGATAACTGTCGGCAAGTTTGTTCGTGAATATAGTAGGTAGTGTTAGGAAGAAAATCCGACATTGTGCCGGTGTATCAGCGCAACACTAGCCTTATTAAAATATCGATGTTTATGTCCCTTCACTAATCGATCTGACACTTGACTTAGTAACGAAAGCGCGCCATTCGTTCAAAAAGATTCTAACTAATAATGTATAAAATTAGATATGTACTTAATTAATATACGTTTGACATTATACTATGCGGTTAATGTTTTTCTAAATACCTTTGTTATATACGAGAACATAATTGTGGTTGAAACAGTGCTTTTTGACTTTTTGTATGTAAATTTATTTGTGTATGGATGTGCGTGCAATATTAACCTAACATGTGTTGCAAACAAAGTGGAAACTTTATTATAGATATAAACTACGGAAGTGATAATGCAGATGTGAACTCCGTGCGACAGATACGTGATGGAGGGAGAAAAACAGCTGGTAATTTAATGTTTACAAATAAAATCAATACCCTGATAATAATATTTCTATTCTCTATGGCTTATTCTGAAAATTTTATTTAAATTTCGTTTTAGTTTCGTAATCACGGAATTTTGACTTAGTTTTTATTAAGTTTGCGTAACATTTTTTTCTGGTCTGTGTTAATTAAGACTGAATTAAAATTATTACGTTTTAATTTTCTCACATTTACAACAATGTAA